TATTGTCTTTTTCCTTTAGAACTACACTCGCCGTCGCCTTGCTTATGATGCTTACAAGGCTGACATTGATCTCAAGATGGGTCGAAACTGCTCTGGACTGATCCAAAAGTCGGTCATGTCTGAAGGCGAATCAGACGATAATATGTCCCCCTCTCAGCCAAGAAATGAGATTCGTGTTGCTCGCCCAAGTTGGAGAAGTGACGAGGTAAAACCTAACAGTTTTCTTTTTTGAATGATGCCAGACTGAATGTTAATATATGTTTGTTACTTAGCTTAACAAATTCATTACGGAGGTTGACTCGTTTGTTGTTAAGCAATTGGGTGCAAATTCCCGCCAACTGCTTAAGAGAGTTTATGGTAGAACAGTGGAATCAACAGTCCCAATTGATTTAGATCCTGCTCTACCTCAATGGGCTCTTAAATATGGGTCATAAATAAAACTCATTTTTTGTCGTTTTTTTTTTCTTTTACTATCAAAATTTCTTAACACATATGTATTGTTCGCAACATATATAATAAGACTACATTAGCTTATGTATTGAAATTTTTTATTAAAAAAGAAATGTATTAAATATTAATTGTATTGTTTGTGTGGTAAAGCGTTGACAAGTATTTTCTTATTATTTGTGTTGGTTTTATAATCACATGTTGCAACAACTGATGATATTCGATGTACTGGCAAGATGCATTCAAAATCACACGCAATAAAATCTGCACTGCAGATGTCAACACTTTCCAACTCTCTTGAACGGTCATGCTCAATCTGGAACCACTTAACAAACGCAAACACGTGTTTATCTTGATAAACGACACGTGTTTGGAGCTCTGTGTTGTCTACTGATGGAGTGAAAGAGTGCAAGATCAGATACTGAATTTGGCCAGTGTATGCCAACCGATTATTGCCTTGACTTCCAAGGAACAGAGATTGAACAAATGAGCCGCGACCAGAAGCATATTTGCAGCCTTTGTAAACCTGACCAAGCAAATTGATTGATTTCAACTTTATGATTTGGTTGTCGACAAAGGAGAATGGAGAGGAGGGATGCTGGTAACCTTCAAGATTTGGCATGCAGTATGCGACTTTATAGTAATCAAGCAAATGAGGATAGTCAACATCACTCATTGCTGATGGGGGTTCGATAAGGAGAGGAAATGCGGATGGAGGAAGAGGTTCATTGCCGAGGACTGGAAGAGAAGGGTTTGAGTATGCTTGGATGAAGGCTGATAGTCTGAACGGGTGCTGGGGAAAAGTTATTGTATTTTTTGAAGTGGAGGGTTGAGCTGTGGCAGTAAGCTTGGCGAGAAGAGGAAGAAACGGTACTTGGCTTGGGCATGTGAGAGCAGCATGAACGAAATCACCTTTGAATGTATCTTGGACGAAACTATTCATGTATGTAACCTCAAAGGAATCTTTTCTGTTCGTATTCACGTTCTTTAGCAGACCATTATATTGCTCAAACCCGAAGAGCCAATATCCATATACTGGTCCAAAATCACGGATGGTCTCGCAAAGATGGAGATGTAAATGCATGTTACAGGTGAGAATAGTTGGAGTGTAAATACGCTGGCACTCAGTACAGAATTCTTGAAGAAATTTATGGCCGTCGTCAATGTCAGAGAACGTGATGCTTGGCTTTACTAATTGGCGGCAGGCATCAACAAAACTGATCCAATTTCTGAACATTTCAATTGGCAGGACGGCCTTCAACAAGATAGGCGAATACACTAGCACCCAGGACTTCCATTCATCAGCTTTCATGTATGGAAAGCCCTTTCCAATCTTCGATTTCAACACCACGTAATCCATTGGCACCACCATTGTCTCTGCCATTGTTTGCATCATAGCTAGCTTTCTATCGTCTATCAGTCCTTCTTTTATCCACCGCTCCATCATTCTCTTTGGTGTCCCCAGGAATAAATTATGCATGGGATCGATGATCATTCCACGTACTAGATCAAAGTATCCAAGGCAATGCAGCTGCGACCATCGAACACCATTTTCGATTTCCAACTGATGCCTTTCTGAGGGCGTACTGGCACTCTTTCACTCCTCAGCATGCAACCTGTTTTCCAGACCGCTACGGATTTTCCACGTCGAATAGTCGAACCCACTGAAGTCGACCTGATTGGTGCTTGGTAACCTGGTAAACTGCCTCACACATCTGGGGCATGCACAAGTACTGTTGTGGGCGGTGAATCCACTGGTCTTCCTGGTGGCGGGGATGTCACAGGCAACCATATGTAACGCGGCACGTACATTAACACTGGCTGGGCACTCAAAGGTCGGGCTGGTTATCCCCGTAAACAACTGCAGCAATTCATCGACTATTGGCTTTAAATAGTGGTTGATCTCTTCGGTCTTTGGCTCCTTAGGACCAGGCATCAAACCAACAAGGATGACATTTTCAGGCTTAAATCTTTCCTCACGAGGCAAGTTATTTATCGCAAGGTAGATAGCTCCAGTTGAATATGTAACGCCATCAAACGGCTGGAACCAGGTGATGTTCATTGTTAGCATCAATGAACGAGGTTCATCCACAAACGATACGCCACTTTGGTCCTTTAGCTCCTTCCACATAGCACCATCATAGACGTCGCATAGTGTATCTACGACCTTAAGCTCTTTGTTCCATTGTCTGATTTTTTGCTCAAACCCAGAACGAAGAAAGAAAACTTGTAATGATCTCTGGATAGAGTTGTAGATGTATGATCGCTTGGCTACCATGGCACCAGAAGATGAAACCTTCATCAATTCACAATTGCATGCTGATCGAGAACCATGCTTTTTGAAGTCGCAATGAGTAGGGAGAGGCACATCTTGTGTATCTCCTTATTTTATCCTACAGAGAGTTTGAATTTTGAAAATCCGTTGAGGTAGTGACAGGTTTTACTTTTGGTAAATTCAATTAGAATTGTATTTGTTTATATCAATCAGAAATATTTTTTCTTGTACTTTTAAGATCTTTTAATGATATATATTTATTATTTTTATTATTATCTCTGAGTATTCAAGTTTCTAAAATATGAAGGGTCCTCACCTCTATATTCATCCATCAACCTCACAGCATCTGCGAGTGCTCTTTTTATAAGATCTGCCTTTGTTTGATCTAAGCCAGGAATTGTCTTCAAAGTTTGAAGATCTTCAAAGCCGTGATGCATCGTTGCAGAATAAGCTGCAATTTTGTCAAAGACATATATACCTCTATCTTCAGCAGTACCTCCACTCTCTAATTCCTCCTCTACTTCTTCCTCAACTTCGTTCTCGTTTGCATTTACAGCATCTTGTCGGTTCAATACCACTCCTGCTATCTCCCGTTGCTCGATGAAGCTGAATTTTGCCCCACAGTAATGCTTCAACAAATGTGAATGCTTGCATGGGATCTGGCAGGTCCGAAAGTTCGGGCAGGTGCAGCTTTGTATCAAGTCATTTGATATATTGATGTTATACTACTTATCTTCTGTTACAAAAGATCTTATTTGCCACTCAACATTATAATCATCTATGCTGTTACCAGTCTTACCCAAAGGGTTGAGAATCATGGAAGGGAGCATGTCATTTTGGATTTTTGAAGCAACAAAAGAATTTCTTGCTAACTCATTATCAATGGGACCCATCTTACCATTGTTGAAGTGAATACGCTCAACCTCTTGTTCAAAATAGAACTCCACATCATTTGTCAAGATAAAAACCAGTCGATCCAATCTTCTGATGCGTGCACGACCAAAGTAGATTGTCTTGAGTTGATTGTGCCATGACTTTACATAGTTGTTTGTCACATATCTCTGATGTTGTTGGCTAATGTACAGGCGCCCCCATCTTCGCAACAATTTTTCGTTCTCAGTCCATTTCTTCTCAAAATATTTCAAAAACTGAGGTTGATCCTGAACCATCAGTTTAAAATCTTCAATTGCTCTTAGGAACACGTCTTTGTTGGACTTGATGAGAATGTGTCTCAGGTAGTTCTTCAGTGCAGTCTTATAATTCCCAAGTTGTTTTGATATATAAGAGGCATTAAGTTTAATCTTGCTGTCAAGGTTGTGCTGCCAAGTGCAAAGAACATGAAAATCACAGTAGTGAATTGTAGCATGAGGTAATGCTTCTTTGATTGCATTAACCTCCATAATGCTACAGTCAATGGTGATATTCATTGGTATGAAGCTGCTCTTGATGCAAAGGTGGTCAAGCCAAAGTTTGATGGGTATGGCTGTCTGGTTGTTTGTCACCATGTATACAACAGGGAATCCCTTTCCTGTTTGAGAATGGCGAGTGACCAAAGTATATAATACTTTGTCGCTTCTGGACGAAATGGAATGAGTGGCATCAAGACAAAAAGATTGCGAGATTCTCATGATTGAAACTTGCATTGGTGATTGAAATCCAAAGGCAAATTGTTTTTTACTGTCATTATAAACAGAAAGATTGATTTCAAAAATGCAATAGTTTTGTTCTGCTAGCTTTACATTTAACCAGATGGAAATAGATGCATTTTCATCAGAAGCAAACATATATAACAAAGTAGTCATCTATTTTATATATAAGTATTTATTTGATATACAAATATTAATTTAATACGAAAGCTCTGTTATATTCATTGACAGACCTTTCTCATTCTGTTGTAAATTTCTTCATAATTAGGCTTTCTAACACCAACTCTCCAACTATCAATCTGTCTAAGAACTGAAATTCTTGTACTTCTACAGCTGCTGCCACTTTTCAACTGATCTTCAATAATTTTTATGGCTTCAGAAGGCAAAGGAAGAGTTCTGACTTCGTCTCAGTCTCCAAGAACATGGTTTACATATGCCCTTGTTTGGCAAAATGTAACAACATTGGGGTTGTCGAGATGCTGTATGATTTTTAAGGCAGCTGTACAAGAGCATTCCTTCATATCTTTCTGGGCAAGACGTAATTGGCAGTTTGTTATATATTGGCCAGCACGGTGGCATTTTTTAGTCTCTCCAAAAACTAAACCTTTTCCAGAATATTTATGCTTTTTATTCTATTTTGTTGAGCATAAGACATTGATTCGCTCCAGACACTTTTCCCATTCACTAGCTTTTACTAATATTGTCGAATTCAAAGGAAGAATTTTGATTCCTTCCAAAGGCAAGTTGATCAAGACTTGTTGAATGGTGGAAATATCATAAATAGTGTTGTTTATATTGTTGTTAGACATAATTGAAGTTTGTTTTTAAGAAAGAGGGAAGTGATTATTTGTTGAAAAAAAAATGCCATGTGTGGGATGCAAAAGCCACTGTCTGTCATTAAAGTTAGAAAGCCACATAACTAAATTAAATACTAATTCAAACTCTCCGTAGGATAAAATAAGGAGATACCATCTTGTTCATAAACCTTGTGGCAGTCTTCACATACAACAGACTTCTTGATACCATTGGCGTAATTGGAAAAACCAGTCATTCTTTGCAGGCCAATAAGACTTGTTGGTAATTGGAAATCTTCGCCGTAGATCTTGAGTAACTGATTGATAAATTCAATCAATATGGCGGCACCTTTGTTAACAACATAACACGAGATAAAAAGAACGGCAAAGGTAGCAATGAACCAATGGACAGGGTTTTCAGGCATGTTAGGAGCATCAAATGGGTCTATTTAAAATTAACAAATATAAATTAGAACAAATTTTGTTTAGGTCTGTTTTTAAGAAAACAAAATCATTTATGACTGACCTTCATTAACAAACTCTTCAACGTCTGTCTCGACACCTTCTTCTTCACCACTGCCAGAGTCAGAGTTCATGTCTCTTTCAATGTCAGAGTCATTGCCATTGACCTCGCTGATCTCATCGTCTACCGAGACATTGTCAGCCATCGTGGCGGCATTCGAATCAGGTGAGTCGGCCTGATCGTCTATTTTTTCGATGGATTCAGATTGACAGGTCGGGATATATACAAATATAGATTAGTTTAGCTTATTGTCTCTACTGGTTTTCAAATATTTTTTTTCTTTTCTTTTCTTATATTGGGTATCAACGTCCATCATTTGTCCTTCTTGCACAGCTGTGTTTCATTAAAATTAAAAAATAAAGAAGTTATTACTCAGTAATCGAAAAATAAACCCTGAATATAACATACTATTTGCCAATCTTTCAGCCATATCCAGTCTCTCGATTCTCTCAAGCTCATCTTTTCTAATATGGCGCTCAGCGGTTCTGCTTGTCACCAATGAGTATCCCTGTGAATTTCTGCTACATTGAGCACAACGGCAGACAACATTACGGCGGTGAGAGATAGAAGGCATTTTATGTGTTTTGTTTGATGTGATTTATTGAAAATAAAAAGAGGAACAAGCGTAAAATATACTTTATTTACACCAACTTTATAGTAAAAAAAAAGCATTATATTTTATGGTCGTTTAATTAAATTCTTCTAACAAGTTCTTTTCTATATTATTAAACATAGAAAGACACATGACAATTATGATATTATCAATTCATAGTCTTTATTCAAATGTTTTCAAGAATGCCTGTTGTGTGTAAAAGACATATATTTTTCTACTATGAGTTTATAAATAGATTATTGCGAGAGTAAATCCAGAAAATAGTAGGAATAAAAAAAAAGGGGTGGTAGAATGAGAATTATGATAGGTCTCTGTATGTGAATTTAGCCTTCCGTACCAGATTGATATTCTAAAATTCTGTTAGCCAATGAAACCAACTAAAACTACATCTTTGACCTGAACTTCAAAAAACACACTGAGTGGAAAAAATCACTATTTCTACACATGTGTTTACTAACCTGGCCACATTGTTAATCAGGGCAGTTTTTCCAGTGCTAATTATCATGTTAATTCAGTGCATTGTTAATTTACATATGATTCAAATTTATTTTAAATTATGACAAGTCTGTCATTATTGGTACAATCATTATTTTGAAAAAGAGTATATATAGGGTCCCTGTAAAGTTCATGTCTTTCAAAAAAATAATAATCTTACATATATTCTTTACTATTTTTCTATCTCCATTTACACTTGAATTTAACTTAATTACAAAACCAATTACAATTTATCAAACATCAATATGACTTCTGCTGGACCTATTTGTGCTTCATGTAAACAATTGGGTCACAGCAGGGGATCAAATTTTTCTTACTCTTTGAGTCCAAGACACAAAACTCTCTTGATTCCCCAAAAGAGAACCAGTGATAATCTCTCTGCCCAAGAAGAATATCAAGCAGAGAGTAGTAGAGATAACATTAAAACAGATTACTTTAATCCATCAGATCGACTTGCATAGTTTCTAACTTATTTGCTTTCATCTGCATTTATATGTTTATTTAACTGGTGATTCGAGACCAAGGGTTGAAGCTGTTCAGAATTCTGTGGTACTTACTGTGGCAGAAATCAATGCTCTCTCCTGTGCTGCCCAATATTCTGCAGAGGGTAGTCGAGGTAAATAAGTAAAGTATAATTGATTAATATTCAGCAAAAATTCTAATCATTTTTTCTACTCTATATATTTCTGCATTTAGCTGCTGCTTCGAAACCAAGAGCTGAAGCAGTCCAGAGTCATGTGATGCTCACCATAGCAGAAAAAATTGCTCTCTCCCGTGCTGCCAAATATCCTGCAGAGAGTGATTCAGGTAAATAAATATAGTGTAATTGATTAATATTCAGCAAAAATTCTAATCATTTTTTCTACTCTATATATTTCTGCATTTAGCTGCTGCTTCGAAACCAAGAGTTGAAGCTGTCCAGAGTCGTGTGGTGCTCACCATAGCAGAAATCATAGCTCTCTCCCGTGCTGCCCAATATCCTGCAGAGAGTAGTCGAGGTAAATAAATATAGTATAATTGATTAATATTCAGCAAAAATTCTGATCATTTTTTCTACTCTATTTATTTTTCTATTTAGCTGCTGCTTCAAGACCAAGAGTTGAAGCTGTCTGGGATTTTGTTGTGCCCACACAACTGTTGTCAATTGACCTCTCCTTCACAGAACAATATACTGCAGAGAGCGACAGAGGTAATTCTTAAAATTATATATAAATTGCCACAATTATTAATTATTTTTTAATATTTTTATTATAGATCTAACTGACGCTTTTGAGGCTTTGCAAGTTTCTGATGTTGAGAGAGTCTTGGATTTGACTACCACCATCGCCACTGCCACTACCACTGTTATTCCCCACTGTTCCAGCTGTAATGGAATTGGTCACCAACAGAGTAACAGTTTGCAGTGTCCTAATAACCAAAGGGACCGCAATTTTGTCCCCGGCCAGTTAACTACCACTCACAACATAGCCTGGCATACTACCACCTCTGCAATGATACCCGTCTTATATGCAATGACTTTGGCAGATATGTCATCAAGGCTACCATTGTAACTGGATCAAGTGCTGGAAAGGTAGTGCTTATCCCCAGAATTAAGCTGAACCCAACTGGATCGACTATGTCCATTGAGTTCAAGTGATGTCAATTTCCAGTTCGCCTTGCCTTTGCCATGACTATCAACAAGTTCCAAGGCCAGATCCTTGACAAAGTTGGTCTGTACCTTCCCAACCATGTCTTTGGTTATGGGCAGTAATATGTTGCTCTCTCTCAGGTCCGAACTCCAAACTCAGTAAAAATCATAGTTGATATGGACAGTATTTCTACCAAAGCAAGCAACAATGTCTATATAAACAATGTTGTTTATAATGAAGTACTTTCTAGAAATTAACTAATCTGTTCCATATCATATGCTTTCTGTCCTATGTCTTTATCCAAATATGGCAATCCTTTTCTATATGCTTTATTTTTATTTTTGTATTTTTTGTATTTACGTTATTTCTGCGTATACTTATCTTTATCTTTGTGTTTTTTTTACTTTTTTTTAAATATTTTAATATTTTTTTAAAAATTGTCAATACTAATTGTGTATATGACAAAGTATAATAATTTCTTTCCTTTTTGAAAATATCAAAAGACAAACCCCCAAAAAAAATATGGCTTTAAGATATATTTCTTACTATTATTTTATATTTATTATTACAACAAACCTTTATAATAACAAAATTCAAATAAACTCAGACAAACAGTTTTTTCTTTCTTTTCATGGTATGGTTATTTCTTCTCAATGCAGTCCCGCTGGGGACGCCAGTCTACCTCGTATTATATGAAAATAAATATTTAATCATAATTATCTCAGTAATAATTTTCTTAAATTTGAACTTACAAGATCCCAACTGATATTGTTTCACAATATCTTGTTGGACATGTCTTCTGAGTGTTTGGGTAGACACCAAAACAAATCCCATGCTATTGGAAGAGCATTTAGAGCATTTGCATTCTGAATTGATATTTTTGTTTGACATATTGTGTGTATATGTTTTATTTTCTAAATCTTTAGAATTGGCAAGAATGGGAAATTGTTCAGGAACACAATTTAATATATATCATTCCAAATTATACCAGCTTCCAAAATGACATAGTTTATTCCGGTTGTTAAAATGGGCAGTTCTCTAAACAGTAATTGATTGCCTCATTCTAAAATACAATAATACACACTTTTGTTAAAACATGTCGTCATGTACATTTTATTGGCTGTAGAGCATATACAACAAAAATATTTATAGTAATATTATGATCATTAATCTCATCGTACTTATAAATAAATATTACAACAATAAAAAGCTTTATTATCTCACTCAAAAGATATCATTTGGTTTAAGTTTCCTACAACTATTGACTCTGCGATATGGCTACAAGTCCCAAAAAGAAATCTCACAGACATTTTTTACAAAAAAGAGTAAACTCGTTTTTTTATCCAATAAAACAGACCGAGCATTATCATTGTCATCAAAAATAAAAAAGACAAAAATGATGGAAATTTAGGCTACCACTCCACAAATAATAGTATTCTATACCATAGATGAAATTACCCTATTTTTCCAGTGGTGAGAGTGTAGAGTTTGGTAGCCTTTTTGCAAAAAGATTCAAAATAGTTGTGGGTGCTGTTCACTTCATCAAATGTGATTCTTAGTTTGATAAGATAGCAGCATGCATGGACAAAATTCATTCAGTTGTTGTACATTTCGAATGGTAGAACACCATGCAGCAGAACAGGAGAATACACCAGTACCCAGAATTTTCAGTCATTGGCTTTCATGTAAGGAAAGCCTTTTCCAATCTTCAATGTCAGCTTTGTATACTACCTTGGAAGAAACATTGTCTCTGCGATTCTTTCCATGACATCAAACTCTTTGGCTCCAATCGTTTTCTTATCAACTCACCACACTGGAAAAATAGGGTAATTTCATCTGGATCAAATGTACCAAAAATGTAGATGATTGAGCCGATATCATCACAATTTTTGTGATATATCATTTTGAGCAATTGTACGATATCATCTATGGTGCTGATGCGTATCATCATAACAACGGGTACACGAAAACCCAATGTAGAACGATTGTCAGTCCGCAAACTATGGAAACTGAATAAATATTGTAGTTACGCTTTACTCCTATCGAGTCTACCTCTTTATGTGTTATATTTTGAGGTCTATAAAGAGCTAGCGTCCCATATTATTATTTTTACCAGGTTTTTTTATTGGCTGCAGAAATGCTTTAAAAACTATCAAAGAGATGATTGTAGGTTTTTTACAATATAAAGAAATGCTGATAGTTGGTTTTTTATACACACAAAAGCAATGAAACTAGGTTTTTTTACAATGGAAAAGAGAAACAAAGCATGGGTAGATTTTTATAAACAAGCCTCTTTGGTTTGTTTATTTATTTTACTTTTATTTATTTATTTTTTGGAAAAACATTGGGTTATACATTTTTTGTTCAATTTTGTTTTATTTGATAGGAAAATCTTTTCTAGATAAAAATCCTAATTTCGCGACAGTTTTGATACTATAGCTATTATAATCGCTAATACTTCTTGCTCGCTATATATAATTTAAAGCCTTCCGGGAGTAGACATGGAATACATACTTTAATAGCGGAAATGCTATTAAAAAATGATTAATAGAAAAGAAGAATTAGTAAATGATTTAAATTGAAATTTCTTTATAAATACTTACAAGGCGGAGAAGACCTGACATACAATTGATATAAACATGTTCTTCAGAATTATCAAGACAATACCAGTAGTCTTTGAATAGAGATACATTCTAAAAATGAATAATTATTAATATTGTGCGTAGTAAAGGCGTATTTATTAAATATATTGTAGTTAACTTACCAAATATTACTGATTATACGTCTTCGTGCATAATATTAGACATAACTAATAAATCATAATAAAAATAAATATATATCTATGAGTACGACGAAAGAATAATTTGAATTTTTTTTAAGAAAAAAACTTACCATCATGTTCGATTAAGAGATGATGAGACTCAATGGAAATGAGTAGCAATGGCTAGACAAACAATATGATGAGTAACAAAGATCTGTAAGATAATGATATCCTACCTTGATATATCAGACAGAGTATAGCCAAACAAAGAGACACATATTTGGTATTGAGCTATAAAAGAAAGAAAAAATTATAAGTGAAATTGTAAAAACATAAGCAAAAGAGAAACAAAGAAAATATCAATAATAAATGTTATTAAAAGAAAAAAAAGGAAAAAAAAAGACTTGTCTTAAAATCCAGTTTGACCCTGACAAAATGCGGGCTGTAAAAAGTAATACTCCAAAAGAAGATGACCACCGTCATCTTGAAATACTACTTTGTGCCTCATTGAGTTAGAAAAGAAGTTGTCTAAATGTGGATCAAGCGGTTGGGAGATGTGCTTAAATATCAAATGAAAGGTAGAGAGTTAATCTGCACCGCTTATCCTCTTTACTAGTATGTGAATTTTAAATATGATATAACAAGTGTAGTGAATTGTATAATATTAGTTGAAAATTATTAATATTTATTTTATTAACAGAAAATGACAAAGCGTATTCCTACTGCTCCCCGCCGACCCAACCTACGCATGAATGCTGTTCTTAATAGCACAATTGCAGGTGTTGTTGCTCCAATTGATACACCAACTCCAGAAGTAGCAGTTGACACAGCCCCTGAAGTTCAAGTCGCTGTGACCCCAATGGATCACGTCCTTACCTTGTTGGCAGCCAACAATGTGTCGATGCAATCCTTGCAAGAAAATGCAAAAGGAGTGACTGATGCAATAACTCATTTGAAGAATGGCCTGGATTTGTCCAACAAGACAAATGAATTTTTGAAGAACTCGGTCCTTCAGCTCATGACTGAAAATGCTGAAATAAAAAAGGCAGTGACCAGCCAAAATTCCGTGATGCCTTCTGCTGTACCAGCGGATTCTTTTTCTTCCATGGATGATGATCTTGACCTTGGAGCGAAACATTATCCCTTGATTTCTGTAAGTAAATTGATAATAATAACATTACTGATTAATATATCTAATACTGTTTTTATAGCAACTTATCAATAGTTACATCAAGAAACCGAACTTTGTTAGCACAGACCTGCTCAAAGTTGCTGAGAATAATAATAGATTAGCATGGTCAATGACTGGCACGTATGGCAACAAGTACAACAAGACACTTGCACTGGCTCTCTTCAAGTACCTGAGACCTCAAAGATGTTGCACAAATGTGTCAAAGAGTGTCATTATGAATATAATAAAGAATCACTACCAAAATCAAGTGCGAGTCTTCTGGACCTCAGCAGAGAAGATTATGGCTAGAAATAAAGCTGGAAGAAGACGCAACAGAAAGAAGACCGTAAGTTTTAAAATAAAGTTAATTTACTATTGATTTAATGTTTTAATACAATACTCTTTGGTAGCTTCTTGACCGTTGTATTATCACGTACCAGACATACACAGAGGCTATTCATGAGGGCATGAATCAATATGATTGCGGAAATATTCTTTCTATTGACGTGATGTCTGATGGCGAGTCGGATGGAGATAACAAAGTGCGGGCATATCGTCCCAGCTGGAGAACTGATGAGGTAATGTTAAACATCTATTTATGTTTTAAAGAAAATAATAATACTTTATTAATACTATTTATTCTTTAAACCAGCTCCAGACGTTTATTAGTACTATTGATGAACTTACTGTTATCCATTTGAAGAAAAATTCAGAAAGCTTGAAAAAGCGCATCCCTTATGAGAAAGAGGTGAGCATTCCCGAGAATTTGGCAGTCACTTTACCAGATTGGTGCTTTTCAAAATAAATCATTTTTTTCTTGCCAACTATTTTAGAGTCTTTTTTCTACTTGTTTATGTTTACGGATTAGCATGATGTATACAGATGCATGTATAGCATGCCAAGTACAAACAAAAATTTATAGAAATAATAAAAAATAAACGTGCAGCTATATATATTAGTCTGTATTAATTAATTTTTCTTTTTTATACGTGTTTTATTTTTGTATTTGAATCTAAATATATATTTTTCGTGGCAAAGAAACTACACACATCTGAACTTCGCCTTCTAGACCAAGGTGCTCGCCTACTGCGACTGGATAGCAGATTCTATGCACTGGGAGAATGCTGTTCATGCTGTCATCTTCGAACCCCACCTCATTCACCTCAACTCCTTCTCCTGCTCTGGGCTGAAGTAAAACTTCCTTGTACCATCGTACATATGCAAATACATGCTGGCTCGCATGACCAGCAAACGAGTTTACAGCAGTATTGACAAAGAGGTACTGAATTTGGCCCGCGTATGGCTTGGTACTTCTACCATCACTTGTCTCAAACAAGGCTTGCATGAACGACCCACGCTGATTCTTCGTTTTGCTCTTGTATATTTGCCCAAGAAGATTGATTGATTCAAACTTCTGTATCCGATTGTTAACAAAATTATTGGAATGACCAGCCTGGCAATAATGAACAAGAGTTTGATCATCGTATGTCTCGCAATAGTATTCCAACAAATGCTCATACTCGGATTCATCCATGGAAATCTCCCCCTTTATAGCTAAAGGAAGTGCGGAAGGGGGCAAAGGCTCGTTTCCCTTGACAATATCAAAGTTGATCTCAGGAGAATCAAGAAAAGCATTGATATCGAATTGGATTGAGGTGGCAGTGGAAGTGGAAGTGGCTATGGAATTGGCAGTGGATGCAGTGAGCTCAAGGATGATCGCCGAATGCTCAGGTCGAATTATTGGCAAAGTTTGGCGAATAAGATCTCCCTGGTATGCTTCTTCAAGATACTTCTTCATATAGGTTCCCTCAAACCCGTCTTTTCTATTTGTCGCATAGTTTTTCAAGATACCATTGCATCTTTCGAAACTAAAAAGCCAATAGCCATAAACCGGGCCAAAGTTCAGTACAGTCTCTCGC